GATTGGATCGGTTTTTTATAATTCGGTTTTCGAAAATCGAAACATTTTAAAACGGCATATAATTATAATATGTCCCAATTTTACACAAGAAGCAAAAACAAATTATTTAGTAGTGATTTGAAATTTATAAACAACTACAAAGAATGTATATTATAGTTAGATATTTTATAGATAGAAAACTTTTGAGAGAAAATGCATATTAATGTTTTTTTGTCGGGTGAAACGTTTTGAACCTATTTGAAAAAATAAATATCTAAATTAATAAATAACAATAGATATATATTAAAAATAAATAGGTAATAAATGTTTATTCAGTTTTTTTGGACTATTCAAATTTTATTTTATAAACCAAAACCAATCTGAAATCCAAAATAATAAATTGGTTTGGTTGAAAACCAATCCAAAGATTTGAATATCCGAATAACAATTTTAATGAATAACAAGTGGTTTAAAATTAATGAATAACAATTTTAAATGATAATAAAATCAAATTATAAATTACATTTAGATATAAATGAATTGTATTTTAAATGAAAATCATTATTGAAATTAGAAAATGATCGTATAAGTAAAAATATAATTAATGAATACTAATAATTGTTAAAAATAATACTAAATAGATAATTATATTTAATTCTATTAATGAGGAATGTGGGTTGATGTCAATGAGTATTAATGTTCAAAATAATAGAGATTATATATATATATATATATATATATATATATATATATATATATATATATATATATATATATATATATATATATATATACTAGTGTAAAACTATTATCTCAAAGTTAATGTGAATAACATAACCATTTTAAACATATATTTTTCAATATTTTAGAAATACATTTTAATCTTTGCTGCGCAACGTGCGGTAATTCATCTTGTATAGAATAAAAGGCTTCAAAATTGTGGAAATATATGTGCTCACGACGTGAGGTATGAAACTCATGATGTGAGAACTGGATGTGAGCAAAATGTTTTTCTTCTTTTGAATCTTCAAGTTTTGTAAACTCTACTGCCCACGTAATTCGTTAAAACTCATTTAAGAATATATTTTATGCACTCTTTCCTTCTTTCTTTAAAATTGCACATGATTTTCACCCAACACTTATCAAAAAGTGTGGTCTTCGGTTCTGAAACTCTAACACACTCGACTCTCCATTTTAGTTTTCTCACTAGATATGTTAACAATTTTGCAAACAAAACAAACCAGTGGTTGTAACAAGAAAACACACATCTACCATTCGATTACATGCATTTGAAACAAACCAAATAAAAATACACAAACTAAACACCCAAAATATAAACTAAGAAAATAAAATAAAACTCAAATAAAAAGGATAAATAAGTAATTCATCATCTCCATCTCCTTCTGCTCCACTAGGCCCTTCCCCGTCGTGTTGTCCTGATGCCCAAAGCTCTTCCTAATTTTGTATGTAAGGATAGTGAGGTGGCAATGTGGGTGGATGCTCGATATGAAAATGTGAGAACAATATGTCCACGGATTGGTTGTGATAATTCAGGCCCCCTCGAAGATTGTCTAAATACCTAGCAACCTGAATTTGAAAAGGGTCGGTGGGAACACGTCCCTCAAATTGTTGTTGTTATGGACCCCACACTCCTCTCGCTCTCACGTTCCTACTCCCTCTTGGTCTTGGCTGTTCCTCGGGTTGCCCAACTTGTTCCCCCTCATTATCAGCTGGAATACTCCAATGTGTGCCCATATTAAGGACAACATTCACTGATTCCAAGAAACCCATTGTAAGATCGGTACCCTTGATGCTTGTTAGAGTATGCATCACCCTTGGCACAAAAATCCCATACAAATTTGCCAATCAAGTTACAAAATTCCCTCCCACTATTAGGCTTCTGGCTTGTGATGTGCCCGCCTTACTTGCCAAATATTGCGGAAGAAAATAGGGATTATTGCAACATACAGTCGGTGTGATGATGCTCCATATAAAAAACAAATTCAAAGTAGTCACATTATGCCTATGTTTTTATGATTAATTGAAAATGTACTAGGCGGTGGATGAGATGATGAATGGGTGACCGGATTTGGCTTTCCTGTGAGACCTCGGAATGAAACTAGCTGTTAGCAATTATTGTCCAAAAACCATACCCATTTACACCTTGAGAGTAATCCCTAGCGGCTAATCTTAAAACCCATAAAAATGGGAGACATTGCTTCATCTTGTTTATACAAGACCATTCTTGTCACACCCCCAAACCAAGGATAGCAGAAACATCCGAGGGTGGAGGGCTTCATGTATAGTATCACAACAACTAGTATAATAATGCTCAAAGTAAATACAACCATTATGAATATAATCGAGAAAGTTACATGGTTTTATAAGAGTACATGTTTCAAAATCAATAACAATATAATGACAAAATGTTTTGATTAATACTGAAGCGTTCCATCCTCAAAAGCCGGTAGTCACCTGTTTTTATTTATTACCTGAGAATACAAGAAATTTTGAAAGAGTGTCAACGATTACGTTGGTGAGTGCATAAGCTTTTGTATATAGAGTAAAAATACTTTCTTTGTAAATGTAAGGTATATATAAGAAAAATCCAATAGTTTCCTCATAAAATGTGTTGCAGTCTTAAGACCCAAGACCCAAAATGTACAAGTATTTTACCATACTTATAATAATGTATGCAATGTTATAAAAATAAAACCCCTTTTAAACATAGAGATCCACGTAAACTATGTGTATTGTTATTTCCCTATATGAGTTGTTATAACCATACTGTTTGACATAGTAGCCTGTGACGATGTTCTTTAGGCATCAGAATGTTATGACATTTGTCACCCCAGACCTGCTGATCTAACTGTTGCATGTAACTAAGGTGTGGATTGTCAATCCTGATATAGATTTATATACAAGTATGACGCTCTCCCTACAAGAGAATGTAGTTATAACTATAGGATTTTTAACCAGTACTCTAAGAGTACAATGAAGTAGTGCCTCACAACCGTATTTAACGAGTTTACATGTAGTGTAATTGAAAACCTTTTTGTAGTAGGAGTATAACCCTCCTTAATAAGTTTGTAGAGTTGATGTAACATAAACTATACCTATTATAGCTTATCATGAATGTATGTAGTAATGAAAAACCCGTTTGTAATGAGAATTGAACCTTTTCAAACTGAATTGTAATATAGCACATCATAAACCATACTTATTATAGTTCATCATGTATGTTTGTAATGACCAAGAATTATTGTAATGAAAGAATATTTCTGTTATTTAAGTGTAAATTAACAGAAAACACAAGTAAATGTGTAGTCATCATAGGTAAACACTTTGCTCAACACATTACAAAGTGTTAATAACTTGTAAACTGTTTGTATGTAGTTTTATGTTTCTGTCACTGTTTTTGTAAAAATCAAAGAAAAATCATCGTGAGTCAAAATCTAAATCCGTAAACTCCAGAAGTTCACAAAATGTGTATAGTATAATCAAAATTTTTATTATAAATTTTAATGATTCCTAACTAGTGTCAAAATGACCATTTTCACTGACCGGTCCGGAATCTTTGCTACAATGATAAACAGTTTTGTAAAAATCACTATAATTTGTAGAAAAATCATATAATCATGTGTAAGTAATCATTTTAAAGGTATAAATCTGAACTATTTTCATATTGAACAGTTTTGAAAGTCATGGAGTTTAAGATGGTCAAAACAGTTCGTGATTGAGTAATAACTTTTCTGTTGAAACCGGTCATTTAAATTTAAGCATGTTTTGATGTTGTAACTTGTATTTTACCCCATAAAACTAGATGAAAACGTGAAACGAAGGGGGTATGAATTCACTTTGAATGATTTCCCGAGATGTATAGTTGAAGAAGAGGGGTTTCTAAGTCAAGAACACTTGGAGAAGGCTTGAGGATTTGAAGATCTAAGAACAAATATGACAATATTTGGATTTTAGTGAGGGTGTGTAGAATATTCAAGAGTGGTCATCAAAAAGAGATTAAAACAAAAAAGTGGTAAAAAAACCGGGACCAAGAGGCGAACCAGCGAAGTTTTGAGGGTTAGAACCGAAGGTTCAATCCAAGAAGGTTGAGACCCGAAATTGGGTTTGGTCTGAGAAGGCTCGCAGACAAAGTTGTCGAGTGGGAAGCGAGAATGAGGTGAACCGAAGACCGAAGGCGAGATGAGCCGAAAGACGCTTTAGTCCGAAGTGACATGAAGCGAACCGAAGTGCCTTGAAGCGAACCGAAGTGTCTTGAAGCGAACCAGGTCTCGGACCGAATGTAGGTTTCAGTCTTAAGGAGGGTTCGACTCTAGGGGCTTCGGTTCTAAGGAGGCTTCGGCCCTATTTTGCTGTTTTTCAACTATCTTCCCATTTTGAGTGGTTTTTGACTAAGTTACAGGTCGGGATGCCCCAAGTGATTATAAAGAAGTTAAGAGAGGGTTTTGAGAGAGATTTGGGAGATATTTGGAGAGAGAGAGAGAGAGAGAGAGATAGAGTGAGAGAGATTGAGAGAGACTTTGTTTGTGACCTTTATTAGAGTTTAGCCTCGTAATGCAAGCTTCGTAAAACCTATTATGCTTTGTCATGAGTGTTTCACACCCCCGAAGGGTACTTAATAGTGCTTTATAGAGTCATTACCTCACTTACCATGGTTAGGGTTTAGAATTTCTGAACATTTGAAACTTCTGAGTGATACTTTGTATTATGATAGAGGGTTGTACATAAGAAGACATAGAATATATCCTATCATACAAGCACTACATGACTTTATCAGTTTGACTTGTTAACTTTTGTTGACTTTGACTTGACTAGAATTTGACGGTTGTCACAATTCTTCATGTGAACTCGGCCAAAATACATTCTCTATATTGACCACCGAGAGAAAAAACCAACACCATGGAAAAGTGGGAATCAACCTTGATCGATTCAAAAGAAAATGTTGAGAAAAATTCCACACATAATTGCTTGAAAACCACATCCTTAATTGAAATTAAATTCCTCTACCCGTTACAAGTGAAAGATGCCCCATTTTCAAAGAATGTTTTTGTAAGATACGGGTTCAATCTTTCCAATATCCTAATTTCATTCAGCTTGTCCCATTCTGTTGTTGGTGAAATGGCAAACTCTTGATTATAGAGCCATCCCAACATGTTCATGTAGCTTTTCAACATTTCTTGTGGGATATCATCAGGAAATTCGTAAAAAGGGTGTAGCCTCAATGCATTCCTTTGTTGTTGTTGAGGAGCTACTCTCGGACCCATAATACCTGCAAAATACAAAATAAACGATACCCAAAATAGAAAACCATAGATTTAATGTGAATAGAAACCACATAAACGATTCACCCAGTTCTCATATCATGAGCTTGAACCTCACGTTGTGAGTTCAGTTCGTCGAGAAAACCATAATCGGGCATTATCGATGTGAAATCAAACCAAAAAAGCATTGTGGTTTCCTTAGATTGTAAATCTATGTTCATAGAACACACATCCAACAACAAATTCACTAATAATAGAACCAATTTTGACATTTGCATTTCAAGAGCGAACCATTACTCTAAATGCAAAAAATTAGTAAAATTAACAAGATTAAAGTATGGGAATCTTACCGAAATCAAAGATGGAACACGAAATTGAGAAAAGTTCGAGAAAATCGGTGGAAAAATCGAAGTGTAAGGACCAATAACCTTTTCCATTCATGAGTGGTTTCTAAGAAAGTGATACTCATATGTTTGTGGTTGTGTATAAACTAGTCCCCCCTGTGTTTTTAAAGCTCACGTTGTGATTTATGGATCTCACGTCATGATTTTCAAACTTGTAACATCCAGACTCCCAGGTATATTATTCATGTGTTTAATGTTGAGGTTTATTGAGTGACTCGACGAGTTGTCAGTACAACACGTCGAGTAGAGTCGAGTTTTTGTATGTTGGAGCAAAATTACCATGCATAAACGTAAAGATCGAAGCTTTACATGACAACTGAGTCTTGAGATGCTGGATCTAGTGTTTGGAGTGGTAGATCTTCTTAGAATTGTCTAAATGAGGAATGAGTTTGAATGGACTCGCCGAATCAATGGGCGGACTCGACGAGTCATTATGGGTTTGTCCCGTTAAGCCTGATCATGCAATAACTCGCCGAGTTGGTGGTCAACTCGAAAAACTGTGACATCCCCTAATTTCTCGTCCAGAAAAGACCGATTTAATTTATTCTTTTTAAAATAAAATCTAGGAGAAATCCTTTTAAAAGATGTCGCGGAATTAGTCCCCAAAACAAAACATGATAAAAGTTTAGCAAAACCTTTCTTTAAGAAATGTATAGTTTCATTTCCTATCAAAACCTCGGGATGTCATGTTCAGATAAAGATCAAAAGCATAAACAAGACATTATAAGCCTTTTAACAGTTATTTACAACTACTGGCCTATAATCCAAAATTATCTCGGCATACTTCGACTATGCTCGGGGTCCACTACTTGTAACATAAAAAGCTGAGTGGGTCAGGCTTGGGAGCCTGGTGAGCATATAGGGTTTTTAACCCACAATAATAATAAACTTATTAAGTTCATCAATCAACAATAACCCTAATTACCTGTTCCCGTTATCCTCACTTTACGTCCCTAAACACTTATCACAAGGGACCTAGCCTAGAGAATATCATCGGGATGGACACTACTACTAAGGGGTTTCCTTAGCCATACATGTCCTAAAGGTAACCATGAGGGGGATGGAGTACATCGAATGAACACTCTTAGTTCATTACACCTACAGGTTGTGGGCCTGCCAGTGTTCCACTAGACTGTCCGTGGTCGTCATCCAAACTCCGCTAGATGACTGTATCTTAAATCATACCGAGGCCTCTCATCACTTTTATTTTTATCACACGTCACTATCTACCCATGTTTTACTCAACATATTTGAAGATAAAAATACATATACAGTTTAAAATTTGTATAAAACATCAATTCAACAATTGTCTCAAATAAAGAGTCAATATATATACACATAGCACGTATTTATATAAAATACTTCATATCTATGTGTAAGATGAAAGTGACTATACACTCACATGATTTGATGATAGTCGGGCATCAATTCGTTGCTTAAAATGATCGCTTCTAATAAAACCGGGAGTTTTATTGAAAAACCGGGCTCTGCAAAGGTCGGGCTTCAAAACCAAAAAGATAAGTTTTCCAGGCTTCTCGGGCACTCCGTGGAGTATTCCGGGGCTTAGAATCGATACCGGGGATTTGGGGGATGTTAAGATGAAAGAAATATTGGTTTAGGGGCTAAAATGACAAGATTCCGAAATATACCCGGGAGGTATCGCACCCTCGTATTTATAGGAGCGAGCCTTATGATTGGATGGTCAGGAGAGAAGCCACGCATTGCAGATCCAGAGCTCCCAGCGGGGTGGCTCGCACGTGGGCTGCGCATGCGAGGGGCTCGCTGTCGCTTCCTGATTGGGCCACGGTCTAGTCGAGGCTTCGGATGTGGCTCCTCCTGCGAGGCTCGGACACGAGGAATGGAGCACGCGTCGGACTTCTAGTGGGTCAGACTTCGGATGCGAGGGCAGGCGACACATCTCTCTAGCTAGCCTCCGGTGACTCAGCAACTCGGACACGTGGCTCGTCCTAAGTGAAGGTGACGTGGTCGAAGCCACCAATGCGAATTTTCTCGGTTTTTGTGCAAAAACTTCTAAAATCCATAACTTTCGCATACGAGCTCCATTTTTGATGTTCTTTATGTGCACGCGTAGGTTAAATTATGCTCTATAACTTTCGTTTAGACTTCGTCCTCTAATTTTGAATTTAATTTTTTTTTTATTATTTTTAACAGACCGGGATAGGAAATCCATTAAAAATTCATAACTTCTTCATCCGACATCCGTTTTTGTCAGAATTTTTACCGTTGTGCTACTAATGACGAGACCTTCGATTCTCGTTTAGGTTGTGTCGGCTAAAAATCTCTCGATCTAAAATTCGAGTTTTTAGCTGTCTACTGCTAAGCTGAAACTTCGAAAAATCATAACTTCGTCATACGAAGTCAGGTTTGGGCATTCTTTTTATCGAACTTCTCGGTTTAACGAATACTACGACTTTCGTTTGGATTACTAAGGCTAAAAAGTAGTTTATCAAAAGCTCACTTTTACGACATTTAGCACCGTGCCGGTTTTGTCGCGAAACTTCGATCAGTCATAACTTCTTCGTTATAACTCGGATTTTGGCATTCTTTATATCCCCGAAATCCTTGTTTTGACCACTACAACTTTATGTAAATATATCGGGCTTATCTCACACTTTAAGTTTGATGCTTATTTTTATTCTTAATTAATTAAACCCTAATATTTAAGCATAAAACACATAAAACACATATAATTCACATAATTCCTTTTCATTTCTTCAAAATGAGTTACGAAGGTTATCCTAGACTATCACCTCAATATAAATGCCTAGGCTAGAAACACGAGTGTTAAACAAGCTAAGCTGGATCTTCACAAGACTTTTGAGGAAAAGAGTGGACTCGACGAGTCACATGGTGCACTCGACGAGTCGGGTCAAACATGGACTACTGACTCAAGTTTGACTTTTGTTGACTTTAGGGTTTGGTCAAACATGAGTAATGGAGAACATGGAGGGTAAAATGGTCTATTATCCACTTCAAGAGTTAGAGAGATAAAGAATAATCTTCGGTTATTAGAGTCGAGAAAAGAGTATTAATTAGAGATATTCATCCTTTGTGTTAGGCGAAGGCTAGTTCGAGATATGAGTGTGAGGTTATTTGATTACTTGCTTGCGAGGTGAGTCTTCTCACTATACTTACCTAGTGTGGCAAATCCAAGTTGTGTGACCAACAGGTCTTATGCGCTTACATTGTGTATTGTTATATCCTACATTATTTCTTTGTGATTTATGTTGTGTATTATTTAGAGCATACAAAGTTAGGACCGGAGGGTCCATCAGAGTTGTGGGAATGGAGGGTTCCACTGAGACACATTGACCAGAGGGTCTTACTATGTTATAGCCTCGAGTGGCTAAAGAGCCGTGTGTGGTATTTTAGGGAACTCACTAAGCTTCGTGCTTACCGTGTTATATGTTTGAGGTACTTCTCAGGATCACGGTAAGGCGCCGACTTGATTGTACACACATCCGAGAGTGAGTTATGACTGAGAAGATCCTAGAGTTTTGATTTATAAAGTTTTGATCATGAGATTTGATGATTTGAAATTGTGATTTTGAGATTTTATTACTATGATAAAGGTGTTTTTAAATTGAAAAGAAATTTGGTTTGAAAATTTACATCGTTACAAGTTGGTATCAGAGCCTTGGTTGAGGGATTCGGATGCACCTTCGGGTATGTCTGGACTCAAACTGGGGATTTGAGAAAAAATTTCAAAAGAAATGATTTTTCTAAAACAAGCAAGAGTTTCTAAGAGAAAGCGAGAAGGAGCAGCGTGTGCAAGCCAGAGCCCGAACGGTGATTTCCCAAAATACTCTTACTTATTTGTGGTATGAGTTATTATTGAGATATTAGCGATGCATTCTAGATGATAGGCTAGGTATTTCATATATTCGAGCTAGAGTTTCCTAATTTGTGATGCCTTAGCCTACGCATTTTTGTTATTTGTGATGTGCTTTGAGTATGTGCAGAGTAATCCCACAGGAATCTTTTAGAGAGAGCTTTGAGTAGAGGAGTAATCTAGGAGAGATACCCAGATGAGCATTGGAGAAGCCTACCGGGGGAGTAATTAGATACATGCGAGAGTTAGGGTTGCTCGAGTTTGGTGATACCTTTCGAGTGTGAGTAAAACAGATAGAGTTGTCACCTAGAGTGGTTTTACATGCTGACAGAGATTATTCGATGCCCGAATGCTGCTTACTTTGTGCTTTGTGGAACTCTTGATGATGGGAGTCAACTACTAAGTGAATATGACGATATTCAGGAGGTAGACAGATGGCATCATAAGGAGTTCTTTAGCAGCTGATGGCAGAGATCTGTGAGAACCTAGGAAGAGCCTAGGGAGTGACCTTAGTCAGATGAGTACGCTGATAGAGGAGAGTATTCGTTGGGAGCGACCAGGTTTAATGGGATTGGTGATCGAGAAGGTTGAGCAGCTACTTAAGAAATCTGTGATTACGCGTGTGGAAAGTATGGGTAGATGAGGTAGGTAGTATGGGCCCGTACTACTGAAAGTATAGGACCCATACTCAAAACAGGGAGAATTCCAGAGGTTTTAAGTAGCGGATTGAGAGGAGATAACATGGTTCAGATACCATGATTCATAGCATATTGAGAGGAGATAACATGGTTCAGGTACCATGATTCATAGAAGATTGAAAGGAGATAACATGGTTTGGGTACCATGATTCATAGCATATTGAGAGGAGATAACATGGTTCGAGTACCATGATTTGTAGCAGATTGAGAGGAGATAACATGGTTCGGCTACCATGATTCATAACAAATTGAGAGAAGATAACATGGTTTGGTACCATGATTCGTAGCAGATTGAGAGAAGATAACATGGTTCAGGTACCATGATTCATATCAGGTCGAGAGGAGATAACATGGTTTGGGTACCATGATTCGCATCAGATCGAGAAGCGATCACATTGTTCGAGTACCATGATTTGTGACGGTTAGTGCTTCTGGTTTTACCAGTTATCCGTTGTGATTGATTAGACTAAGATCAGATGTGATATA